ATATAGTTACCTTCTGTTAATATACAGATACCTTCTGTTAATATACAGATACCTTCTGTTAAGATACAGTTACCTTCTGTTAAGATATAGTTACCTTCTGGAGCTTTTATTTTGAAAAAAAGTAAGTCCAGTCGTAGTTGCCTGATAACAAACAGTGAGATACAGTTTTGTTCCATTTTTTGTATTAAATGTTAAGCACATTGAGTTTCTCGATGATGAAATGTGCTCTGTAAATAAAGCTGCCTTATCCATAGCTCTCTAATCTCTTGTGGTGCTCTTATGTTTCTCAAATGACATAATTTGATACATGAAGCACTCTTCTACGATGCATTCATCGCTAATTCTTTACTGGTAGATTCAAAGTATTTGTGCTTGTGATGACTGTTATTTGGGGCCTTGACTCTTGAGGGAGATGGTTTCTGACATGAGAAGACAACACAACATGTCAGTGTGACTTAGTTCAACCGGATTTCAGCTCATTTTGAAGACTTGCTGTGGAGCAACTCGCTTTCTTCAAGCAGCCTCAATCATTCAAATGATTGCTGCTTTAATACTTTATCTCCCTCTCTGATCTTTGTTTGCTCAGACTGCAGTGTTACAGGAAATGTGTTGTCACCATGGAAACTGAGGCTGTCAAATGAGGATGAAAAAGTTAATATTTGAGAGGCCACCTGCTATTCTTCAAAATCGTGAGCGTCACAGCAGTAAAAGCTCCTTATAAAATGGATCTGATCTAAATTTATCTGCAATTGGGCAGATTATACACGCAGATACATTGTTCTTAATGCACTGGTTAATTTGAAAACATCTGAAATACACATTCAGGTGTTTATTTTATTACTTTGTTTGTTTACGTCTGTAGATTTCTCTTAAATTCACCAAAAGTTACCATTACATAATGCCTCATTTGCATATAAACACATAACATTTCAGTAAACTTGTAATACAATAAATAATGATCTTAATGTGAGTGATGAAGTGGTGAAGTTTCATGGTGATATCTATGAGTTCAACAAGATAAACTGCTCTTAACTTGTCAATCAGTCTTTGTCTTAAAGTATTTATTAAGAACGGCCCGGACGCACATTCATTACTCCTTAAATCCCATTCAGTACTTTTATCGATTTCTTTCCGTAAAATGTACCTCAGTGATGAATAACACATGAAATCAGAAAGCTGGGTTTGTGCAGGAGGAGTGGAGGTACAACAGCAGGGAGAAATAAATCTCTCAAAAAGCATGTAAAGTCAAACTGAGTGTGAGCTGAAAGTTAACCTATATCTCAGTCCCTGAACGCCTCTCAAGGACCTCTGGAGGTCTGTGAGATCCCACTGTGGGACGCTGTGCCCTGGATTTATCTCTTTCATAGGATTTATCATTACAGAGGGAAGAACTCCACAGTAATACATCACGTAGAAGCATCTTTATAATTATAAATACAAGACAATACCAATACTCTAGGGCAGCAATACTGTCGATGCAAAGGGACCAAACAGTGTGAAAGAAGGATTATAGACTTTGTGACATGATGAGAGTAAATACTTCATTTATTTCCAGATTCCAATATAAATGTTATTGATGATACACAGTGTATGACAACATACTGATATGTTCAATTAAAAACTCAAATATTCATCATTCCAAATCAAATAATGAAATATATGAATGAGTACTAAATAATATAGAATTCATATTTAACTATATTTGTAAAGACTAAATGAAAAAAAAGTTTATTAAATATATATATTTTTTAAAAACTGTTTATTGATAAAAACAATTAAATATACAAACATTGCAAACATTACATAACATATACAGAAAAACAGAAATATGAATTGAGATAAAGAAATAATAATAATAATTTAAGAAAATAGACTTAAGATAAATAAATATTACATCATAATAATGAAAAAGAAGTTATTCTACCAAGCTGTTCTACTATATTTTGCGTTGATTAGTTTAATAAGAGTGTACATATATTCTTTAAATTCACATTAAATAAATTAAGCGGCATTTGGTATAACTTTTGTTTTTTTGCATTTATGTCTGTAAAAATCCACCATATGTAATCAATAAGTTTGAAATAAAGTAAATGTTGTATTTATGACATTTTTTTACTCTCAATTTTGATATTATGATTGATGTTATACAATATATAATCTTTCATTCGAGTCCAAAAAGTTGTGGTTCATTGTTGCAAAAGATTACATTTTGGAGAAATATAGATATTGTGTAAAATGTTGATGTGTAGGTTACATATTTAACCTTGGCTTTATTGATAATACAGGATAATATATGATATAGTAAAAGCTTTAAAAACCACGCCCTCTGCTACAGTAACCTGTAAAAAAAAACTAACCTGGAACCATAAAACTAATCTTTCTCACGTGACGTCACCCCGCCGACCCGACCAATGAAATCGCTTCTTCAAAGTTTTGCCGCGAGGAGCGGTGCAGAGCTGAGGTGGTGTGTGCGTGTTTTCTGAAGAGAATAACTGGTTAGCTGGTTTAAATAGATGTATGATTGAATCAACACTTTGATAACTTGTTAACGTATCAGTTACGGTGTTGAGTTCAGGCTCCGTGTGTGTGTTGAGGTTTCCTTACTGACTTTTCAATGTTGCAGCAACCACACGCTTTGTTGTTGTTGTGGGCGGAGCGTTAGCATGCTAGCTGCTAGCCTTTAGCTAACACCGGCTACTTCCAGGTAACAATAACAACAACCGCCTGTGGACTCGCATCCTGTCTCCTGTCCTCGGACCCGACCTCATGGATCCCGGTGGAAGTGAACTGGACTCCAGCCTGCCTCAGCCCGAGAACCCGTGTCTGATCGTGGAGGACTCCCAGCCGGACGGTGTCGCTCTGGAGGACGACCCCGAGAGCAGCTACCGAGCTCTGCTGGCCCGGCGCCTGTCCAGCCTGCAGCCTACGTCCCGCAGCCCGGTGCTGGTGAGCTGCAAACTGATTATGTACCAAAGTAACTTAAACATCCGAGGCTGGTTTCTGGTTTCTGATGCAGCAGTTGAGACTGTTTCATGTAGTCTTTTGAATATAATTGGTCAGCAGTGGTGCAGGAAGTGTTCAGGTAATATATTGTGAGCAATTTAAGTTTTAAAGCGCTCCTAATTATGGATATTATGTGATACAGTATATTTACTTGTAGGAGTCTGGTCATTTCATGCATTAAGTGTCTGTGAGGGGGGGTTGAGGAATGTGTTGGAAAGTGGCTGGGTGAGGTGTGAAGTTTAGGACAATGGGTCAAGGGCCAAGGAGGGGCTTAGTTCTCTCTGTGTCCAAAAGTTATGGACCTAACAATATGCAGTTAAAAGCAAGTTTCCCTGTCCAATGAAGTAGTTTAACATGTTAAAGAAACATCCCCTGTTAGTGTTACAGTATCATTTGTTATATCATTGGGTTATTGCATGAGCAGTGTTTATCATCACGTTAACATGGACACTATTACTACTCTCAGGTATCTTACTCGATAACAATTCATGTTGTTAAAAGAAGATATTTTTAAATTTTGTGTGAAATATTTGAATCTGGAAAAATATCACGTAACCCTCAAATACATTTCGTGGAGTAAATAGTACAATATTTTCTTCTGAAATACTCAAGTAAAGTATAGATTGTACAGTACTTGAGTAAACATAGATGGTCAGCCATCTTGTTGACACTTTTCCACCAATATATTTTGGGTTTTTCTAACCCCATGAGAGCACAACATGTCCACAGATGGAGACATCCATCCATCCCATATTCAGGTTACTTGGTGAGATCGGACGAGAGGCTGAGAGGCTGAGTGCACTCTGGACAAGTCACCAGACATGTTTTTAATCTTTAAATGTGTTTGACGAGTCGACAGTTTATCACAAAGCTAAAAGCCGCTGAGGAAGCAGAGAGAGGTTGAAATATTCAGAATTTAATCGTTTTGTTTATAATTAATTTGTTAGTTTGATCTTATTTTCTGCCAACTAGAAGAAATCTTTTTATAGTAGTTTGTTTGAGAACAGAAGCAGACTGGAGTGTATCGTTAAACCACTGTCCTTCATTAAAGGCACACTTAACCCCAAAATCAAAAATACATATTTTTCCTCTTATGTGCAGTGCTATTTATTACAATACGGTCTGTGGATTATCTTGAGTAAACGGGTCAGGATTTCTGAGAAGAGACTGCTAAGTTACCTTTTTGGTGCTTTTTGAGACCCACAAGCTGAGTGTCGCATAGTGCCGTTATATTGGACAAAAGGCAGACATCTCTACAGCTCCAAAAAATAGGAAACTCACACCAAAACAATCTGAATTGATGAATAGCACTACAGGTAAGAGGACAAACTGTCCCTTTAAAGTTAGAATTGTTGAGATTTATCTTGAAGTTCGTTACTTTGTTAAACTAGTGACGATTTTGTTTTCCAGGAACTGATTTCCTCCCCGCTAGGAAGCAGATACTCTCAGAGTGACAGCCAATCAGAGAGCTCCCTCAGTAACAACCAAGCTGAACCTGGTCAGTGCCTTTCTAACAACATGTACTTCTATTTCACTTATCCTGTACGAAATAAAAACAATGCTATTTTCTTTGTTTAGGCATTCTAATGGCGGCCAATCCCAGCTCTGCATTCGAGGAGGAAAGTCAAGTTCTAAACATTTGCCCTCCGAACAAGAAAAAGTATGTGAGGACCAGACATGTTTACTTGATGCTCGGGGTCAGACGAGGATAAAGTCTTCTCACTTTCTCTGCTCCCTATTGGTTCAGGTGTGCAGCAGAGGACACGGAGATGGATTCTGGAGCTGATTCTACCACACACTGCATTCAGTCTGAGGGTATGAGTTCCTCTCACGTATTCAGAAAGAATAATGCCAACATCCAGTCTAGAGTTGAACATGACGGCATGTGTTAATGGCATCGATGTGTCTTGTGTTTCAGGGGGAGCCTCTCAATTTGGTTTTCTGGAGCTCTCTCAGAGTCAGGATCTGCGCGGTGAAGTGATGAACAGTCGGGAGGAAGAAGAAGAAGACAGTGTTCCTCAGCCAGACGCCAAGAGACTCACCAAATTAGGTATTAACCCTCTGAACCACAAGCAGTTTGTTTGTTTTTTTGCTCCTTTCACATTTTACGCTCGAGGCCTCGTGGCCTCCATTTTCACAGCAATATAAAAGTCGTGCTCCTCTACGGAAACAGAACCATCGTGACTAGAAGTAGAGAGAACTCAAACATGTCTTTAGTGCAGAACAACACAGTTATGACATAAATCACAAAAAAGAAAAAACGCAAGTTGAATTGGTTTCATCATTTATTTTACAAAAATTGAAAAACAATGGAATCCATGTATTGTTCCTTATTTTCATATGCCCACAAGTGTTACCAATGTTGGGGAAACTTCTGGAGGTTTTTGACAATTTTAAGCTTTGTTTTTGTTGCTTTTTCTGACTGAAACACATGATGTGTTCAAGGACTTTCAGAGAGATGAAATCTGACTTTAATGTCAGTTTTCACAGCATCAGTCTATTATAATGTGTTACAGCCTTGAAAGTGGCTGTAAGGAGGGGGGGGGGGGGGGTCTGACCAGAACAACAGGTCAAAGGCCAAGGAGGAGCTTATTTGATTTCAGCCAATCATTGAGCTGATCGATGGGCTAAGGAATGTGTAATATGAGACATTTCAGAGCCTCTGCAGGGACAAAGGGTTTGAAACTCTGGAAGACTTCAGATTCTCTTTAAACTTATCCTGCTGACGGATCAGGAGCAGGGAGGGGGGGGGGCATCTTCCTTTGCCTTTTGTTTGAGACATTTTGAACATAACAGAAGCAAAATATAACTCACAAACAGTCACTGGTGGAAATAGACCCTTTATTCACAGTTAGATGTGTCGGCTGCCCGATGAGCAACGGCTCTCACTCGTTCTTCAGAGGCAGACCGTGAAATTGGTGAAATAAAACGTCTGCAGGAAAATAACCGGTAATGGTCAACAGCCAATATATTCATCCCAACCCTAATTTATACTTTGTTTTTTACCTTTCAGCTCAGGATGCATACATGAAGTATAAAGAGGGTTGAAACGTCCAAATGTCGAGGACATTGTTCTGTTTGCTCCAGAACAACTGCTCTTATCTCACTGTGCACTGAGATGCTGCTGTTGAAATGCAAACATGTACCGTGTGTGTGTGAGAGTTAGACCCACTGGACGCAGCATGGCAGCGAGTGTAATGGTTCATTATTTAGTACCTGATCACAGCGTTCACACCGTTTAAAGACTCAATCTAACTTCTACCTTCTTTTCATCGCCAGCAGAGCAGAACGTCAGCTCCAGGACTTCAGAGAGTCCGGACAACAAAGCAGTGAGGTTCGGCTTCATTCTGTGTTTAAATCTCATCACCGGGACACATGCTGGCCTGGGGTGAGCAGTGTTGTTTGTTTCTGTCCTCCTCCAGGTCTGAGGTGAGCTCCAGCAGCTCACTGGAGTCTTCGGGTCAGTCGGGGAGGCAGCTGGGCATCCAGGTTCTGCTGCACTCTGAGGGCCTGCAGGCCTCCGATGAGCAGGACTGTGAGATCCTGTCCTCACAGGAGGACATGTTCGACGCCGACAAGACCGGTAAATGTGTGTGTGTGTGTGTGCCGCGATTTGTAGCAAATGCGCTAAAACGTTAGAGCTGCAGGGAAGGGATGTCACGATACCCGAAAGACCTGAAAGTTAAGACTTCTGTCTTTTGTCCCCTCTCCGTTACCTCGGGGCTCCTCTCAGGTGCTGCGGTGGACAGCACGGTCTCTGAGCCGGAGCAGCAAGGTCGCCCGACCGCGACGCCGGCTCACTCCTTGCGGCTGCTGCATCTGTCTGGACAGGGAACACTGGTGCAGGAAAGTCTGTCCCAGTAAGTCACGGGAGGAGCTCTCATATTGCTGTCAACTCACAAGCACAACGCAGAAAATACCCTGAAGTTCTGCTCTCTCTCTTTGCCCACTTTTTTCTAGGAGCTCCGTTGACTACGTTGCCCCGACCCCAGACACCTTCAGCCACACCCCTTTAATTATTCCCAGCTCACCGACGGGACCAGAGAATGAACGCGGTAAATGATTTGACCGACTTTGACGACTGAATTTTAAATAGACGGAACAAGTCGGCTGGTGAAAAGAGCTAAAACTTTCCTCGTCAGGTGCCGATGAACCGATGGATACCTCGCTGCCCCCAGAAGACCGAGCGGGAGAGAAGGAGGAGGAGCCGATGGAGACGGAGGCCGCCTCTAAGCCACACCCATCCGCCTCGACTCCCGTCTCCCAGAATTCCCCTGGTTTTGTGTTGGAGCGAACTCTCTCTTTACCCTCCCAGCCAGAGTTCTCTCATGTATGTACTTCTTTATTTATTTTCTCATTTGACTTATGCAGTCTTTTCCTTTACTTATTTGCTGTAAGGCTGCAGCACACGACACACTACTGACATTTAAATGAATCTACTAATTGTTGAGTAAAATGTCAGAAAATTGGAAAATATTCCAAATATTCCACGTGTGTGTTTGTTTCTCAGGACGTGTTTGTCCCGACGCAGAGCCAGGACGCACCGCAACAGTCCGATAAGAAGACGGGCGAGACGCAGTCTCAGCGCCCGGAGTCGGCTTCCTTCACTCTGCCTCTGCTGCTCTCTTGCGGTAGTCCAGCTCGGCAGACCTCGGAACATCTGGAGGAGGACAGCCAGGCCACTCAGATCGAGGAGCCGCCCGGTGTCGACGCCAGCGACTCTGTGGTTTCACATCAGAGGAGCGAGAGCAACGGCGTCCCTCCGGAGTCACAAGCTCCCACCAGTTCCAAAGCCTCCGCCTCTGCTGAATCGCCAAAGCATCGCAGCGAATGTGCCAAGAACGATTCGTCCGATGCGGTGCCAAAGTCCGAAGCGCACAAAAAGACATCTTTGAATGTAGAAAATGTGAATGTAAAGGACGACGAGAGTGACGGCAATGAGGCGAGCCCCGCCGACGTGGTGTCCTGCTCGCAACCAAAGTTGGATTCCTCCGATCTGACTGTTAACAGCTGTGTGCAGGAGACCCCCCCTGCAGATGCTACACCCCGAAGTTTGACCTCGCCGCCCACGATCTCTCAGGCGTCTGCTGTGGATGTGGCGAAGGGTTCTGCAGACTCGAGGAAGGAAGGAGGAAGTGCAAAGAGTCCGTCGGTAAAATCGTCGTCACAGAAGTGTGGAGCGGTTGTTAACAGTCAAACAGCGAAAGAGGTGATGGGTGAGCGGAGGCAGGGTGGAGTAGTAGAAGAGGAGGAGGTGGTGATGGAGGAGGGTTCAGAGATAGCTGTGGCCCTCTCCCAGAGCCAGCTGTTGTCCCCTGAGCCCATGGAGGAGGAGGAGGAGGAGGAGGAGGAGGAGGAGGAAAAGAAGAAGAGTGAAGACCGAGGAGAGGACAGCGTCATCATTGTCACAGACAGCGAGAGAGACTCCCAGGCTCTCCAGAAAGACGCGACGCCACAATCTCAGACCAACAGCTCCCAGTCCATCTCCACCAACGGTCATCAGTCCCAGGCTCAGGCCAAGAAGGTCCACGCGGCTCCTGATAGGCTCTCCCAGACTCAGAGGGCGGGGCCTGACCCAGAGGGGCTCAAAGACAAGAGCCTGAGTGACAGCTCGGGAGGTAAGCATGGCACAGACGTACTGCATGTCAGCATAGTGCGATATCATGACTTAGTGAAAAGACGTTCCACTAATATGACAGGTTGGGACTTCTTCTATGTGAAATGATCTAGTTGCACCTTTCAGGCCTCTAAAATGACTGTAATGTAATAAGTGTAATTACTCTTTGAATGAATTTGAAATGACGGTCGTCACGCCCCCAGTTCAGAGGAACAGTTGCAAAGCAATGTACTGCTATGTTACTTGTTTTAGACATCTTTAAAGACTCAACAGCAGTTTAAGTTTACGCCAGTTTACCTTGCCGGCGGGGGACTGAGGCTGCTGCAGCCATCTATGCTCTCGCCAAAGCCACCAGACCTCATCGAAAAATATCAGTATTTTTGAAAGTTTATAGTGCCTTCGTACCAGTTATGTTCTAGTCAAGATCGGTTTCAAGACTCTTTTTGGAGGTCTCGTCATCAACGCCATGTTTAAGCGGACTTCTCTCAGACAAAGACCAGTGAAGACCACCACTGTGAGGATATCACTGACATCATTACCCTGATTGTTTGTCCACATTAACCTCATCGCTGCAGAGCCTTTTGATTATTCGATCAAGACGTTTCTCATGGTACACGCACACACACACATTTACAGTACAAACGGCAGAAGAGGAGAGTGAAGAGGAATCTCGATGTGTGTTTTTGGGAATGTGGATCTTTCAGATCAGTTTGAGAACTCAGTGGTTTGAATGTTCCACATTTTATTTGTGCGAGGGTCTCGCACTGGTCTGGTCTTGGTCTTGTTGTGGTCTCGATACACTCTGGTCTTTGTCATGACTTGGGATCTATTGAGGTGGTCTTGACTACAACACTAGTTCATACACATGAGTCCAGCATGTTAAAGGGTTCCTGGTTGGTGTTTTGTGGAGTTCTGGAGTATATATTGAGTTAGAGTTCTCCCTCGAAGGCTACGTGTTACAAGGATCCAACAAGGACACATTACATCTAAAACCCATTAAATGTTCTGTGACGGTTATTCTACAGAGTTCCATTAGAGGTAAAGGTGGCGTCCCAGTTAGAGTCGCATCATTCCTCATTCTGATCGGCTTTAACAGGAACCGTGCACTGAACTAGATGCAATCTGATTCCAGGAATGCTTTTATTATTTTACTACAGATATTTCTTTCCACTTCACGCTTCCTAAAGAAGGGGAGCTGATTGGTCCTGTGGTCGGAGCCACGCCCCCTCTAATCAGCCAGCTGAAGCAGACGCTGAGACACAGCACTCCCATCGGTGGGTTCAACGACACACAACAACAACAACAACAACTTGTCTACTGAACGGTCTGAGGCCGAGGTTCTTTAATCTGTTTTCTTTTTCTGCAGAGATGACTTCCTTCTCTGAGAAGTCGGGCGTGGCGGCTGATGGGGCGATGGCAGCCAGTGACATCGTGTCGGGGGAAAGCGGGGACGACACGACGGAGAAGGGAGACGGGAAGCTGAGTCTGAGGATGAAGCTGGTGACCCCCGTGGAAGAGGGCAGCTCGGAGCGCTTCAGCCTGCAGAGTAAGAGCTCCTCCTCCTCCTCCTCCTCCACGCTCTCAACCCTGCGTCCTCCTGGACCCTCTCTTTAATACATTTCAACATGTTCTACCCCCCCAGAGCCAGCGCTATCAGAAGAGGACGGATCTGTCCCCAAAGTTGCCACTGTTGCCAAGGCTGTAACCAGGTAACCTGGCACTCTGTCTTCATGCACATGAAGTGAATTCTTTCATTCAGTCTCTGGAGGATGAGAAGCAGCTGAACACGCTCTACAGCCTCGACGGTGTCACTTCACACACACAGACACACACACACACACACACACGACGTATTGAGATGTCCTTATGGAAAATAGTTTAAAGGTCCAACTGATGAGACGTGCACCTGTTCTAGTGGTGGGATGTGTTTTCATTCCTGCATAACTGTCAGAGCCCACGTCATTCTGTGTTCTTCATTCTTTATGAGCGTCACTCAGAAATTATATTCATTTCATTGACAGTTTACATTAGCTTCCAGTGACATATTGACTTTATTTCGGGACTTTGCTGTTGTGAACATAATTGTTGCTGCTCTAGAAACAATATTTAGTTATATCTAAATTATGAATATCTTCTAATTCTATGTATGTTTTTAAAAACAATTATTTAGTCGAAGAACCAAGTATCAATAAGAGTAGCCTGTAGATGTACTAGGATCCTAAAGATACCTGTCCCTCCTTGTAGGCCACCGTAGTTCTCAAAGATGCCTTAGAGAGGGAGGGGCTGAGCTCATCAAAGCAGTAGATGCCACTAAAACGTACTCACTGTTCCTTTAACGAAGCTCTGGAGTTATTAGAAACGTGGGTGCCGTGCATCATAAAATGATAACAGATGCGACTAAGAGACGATTATATTTGTTGCAAACTATTTGTATTATCGATTCCTTAAAAGGTTTAATGGATTACTCGTTGCAGACTAACACTTTTGTTTGATTTCCCAGCAGCCCGTCGGTGTTCAGTCGTGTCAGACAGGTGCACAGACTGCAGGAAGCCAGGGAGGACCTCCAGGCTGGAGGCCACAGCACACCTGTCAGGTGAGCACACTCGCTGGTACAGTACAGGAGAGCATCTGCTAGTCTAAATACCATGTGATGCACTCTCTCAGAGCCAGATGGGCTTCTTTAGCTGTAATGACTCTAATAAAGCTGTAGACACTGCTAGAAGGGCCAGAACACTGAGCTTTCATTTCTACAAGTAGAACATGTTGTACCCACTCGTTGTTCATTTCTTTAACCAAAACTGTGACAAAATATGTTCGTCAACAATTTCTAAGACTAGAAGTTAAGTTGAACAATGTCATTAAACCATTAAACACCGACTATAACTGCATGCAGTATTGTTGAAGAGAGAACGAGCTAAAACCAACCGGAGAAACATATACTGTGTGTATATATATGTGTGTGTGTGTGTGTATATATATATGTGTGTATATATATATATATATGTGTGTATATATATATATATATATATATATATATATATACACACACACACACACACACACTCTCTCTCTCTCTCTCCTGGTCCTGTGAGTCTGAATTCAATATATAATAGACATGAATGTGAAAGCTAATACAAGAAGAGTTGATTTTATTTGTGTAGAATGAAGACTTTTGTGCTGCAGGTCTGACCTGCAGGAGCTTCACATGTCCGTGTGAATAGTTTCCCCTGTTGTAATGTATTCTAGTAGACAGAAATAGGTCGTGTGTGTGTGTGAGTGTGAGAGAGACCTACTTCTGGAGTCTGGAGGTGTGATGGATGGTTATTTTCTATATATTCTCTCGGGCCACGAGGAGCAATAAGATGTGAGGGACGCTGCGATTGAATTCTCTCTTCATTCCACTTGTTTCTTCTGCTTCTTGCTGTAAACGGTTTACAGAGATGTGCTGTTTTTCACCTCAATATTAATGAGACGCGAGAGCCACACAGTTTATTTAGCTGCTTTTGTTTTATGGTCGTTTCCATCATATATAGATGATATTATCTAAATAAAAGGTTTGATTTCTGCCGAACTACAGAATACATGAAAGAAACCTACAATGGTCGTGTTACACCGTCGTAGTCCGACAGCGTCATATTTGTGCCTTCTTTACATTTGTATCAGAGGGCAGCTGTTCGCCTCACCACAGAGAGGCTCCCCGCCGTCCTCGCTGGGATGCAACAGCCTCCCCAACAGCCAATCGGAGCCTTCGCAACAGGAAGTGTCGGCGGCACCGCAGGAGACCCGTAAGGCTCCTCCCGGCACCGCCGAGCCCTCCGAGGACAGACGAGGTCCGCCTCGAGCTCCAGAGCCACCCGCCCCCAACAGGACGGATGCCAGACGGGCGGCTCAGCAGACCTTCGACAGCACCGTCGCCTCCAGTCCGTCCAACAAGGTGGGTCACTGACTGTCCACAGCCGGCTCTGTCCGCAGTACAAAGGGTTAATGTGTCAAACCAGTCGTTTTAGTTGGGAACGTGTTCAAAGAGAATTCAAATGCACACCGTTCTGCTCCCAGAGATCTCCTTATGTAGAAGCTATTCTTTCTTTAAAGACTAAAAAGTCTCAAAGTCCTAAATAGGATTCTTTGATTTTGAGTTTTTCCAACAGCGTTAAATATCAGCCTTGTTTCAAAATGTCTAACGCTATAGTTTTGAAGTGGGGTTCTATGAGCCACCACCTCCAGCTGCTCCTTTTGTTTCTGTTATTGTGCGAGTTTGGTGATTTTAAAGTCCAAACTCCATCTACTGCAGTAAAACACTGACTCAGCGCTTTATGCTAGCTCTGAGGTAGCGCTAGCATGGAGGTGCAGTCTGATCACTCTGTCCTGTGTGTCTCAGCTCCGTCAGCGAACAGTCTCCCAGCAGACCAGCTTCGATGCGCCGGGGCTGCGCTCCCCAGCTGGCAGGGTAAGGAGATTCAGAAGGAAAGTTCTGCTCGTGTGTGTGTGTGTGTGTGTGTGTGTGTGTGTGTGTGTGTGTGTGTG